TTGATAACAGTTACTTTCGAAATTGGCAAGGTTAATACTAGGGTTTTTAATATTGAGACAGATGTTTATGATCTTTGGCATCAACGTTTAGGTCATGTGAGTAGAAATAAATTTTTAGAATTGAAAAATAATAAAATGTTTGATGATATTAGTAAAATTGAAAAAGTTACACCTTCTGAAAAATTATGTGAAAGTTGTATATTAGGCAAACAATCAAGGTTACCATTTAGAAAGTTGAAAGATAAAACATATATTAAACGTTCACTATTCATTGTGCACACAGATGTATGTGGTCCAATTACTCCGGCAACATATAATGGTAAAAATTATTTTGTTAGTTTTATAGATGAATTTACACATTATTGTATAACATATTTACTTACATATAAATCAGAAGTGTTTACTGTATTTCAAGATTTCGTTTCGAAGCGCACTGCTCATTTTAATTTAAAAATGGTAAATTTATATTGCGATAATGGTAGGGAATTTCTATCAAATGAAATGAAGGAGTATTGTGTTAAAAATGGGATAACTTATCACTTGACTGTTCCACATACTCCACAATTAAATGGTGTTTCGGAAAGAATGATGAGAACAATAGTAGAAAAAGCTCGTACAATGTTAAACGGTGCAAAACTCAATAAAATATTTTGGGGAGAGGCAGTATTAACTGCAACTTATTTAATAAAATAACTCCTACTAAGGCTCTAACGCGCTCCAAGAATCTAATAATAGAGCTGTTTTGTTGTTTGTATTTGGAGAATAAACTTCTGTTAACCAGGTTTTAAAATTTTCTTTTGTAAGTTTTCCGGATGTCGATGCCATAACAAAAATATTCATCGCCTTGAACATGGTCTGCTGTAATCGAGGTTCAAATACTCCATGGTATAAAGTAGATACATATCGTCAAGGCCTCATTTTCAAAATCTCGTATTTTGCTAAACGTCACATAATGAACCACTATGCCACATATGTAGTGACGCAGCAATTATTTCATGTGCATGGTGCATCGAAAACCGTTTGAATCATTTCTTCGAGCAATACCATCATTGCCGTGATTATGTTCCCTAACTTATTCAAACATTCATTACCTAATAAAATTAACATATAGAATACCTCTGTACTTTAACGATAAATGTTAATTATAACGCAAATGTAATTGTTTCTCATTTATGCTTATAAATAATGTTGACTGACAGTGCAATATCGTCCGACTTTATCCGATTTAGTATCGTGCGGCGCGTCGCGGGCGCGCACGCGTAACGTTTATATTAAAAATCTGAGGAATTGTAGGAGGCAATATCGTATATACATATACCAATGGATTTGTAATAAAATTCTCTACACTTTTTGTCATTATACAAATTTGAATAAATTGTAAAATAAGGTTATGAACAATTTTTTTGTTATAAACAAATTGTATTTTGCAAAATTGGTTAACATCCTGTTATTATACGCAAGAAACCATACAACTTTTCTATTAGAAGTTTTAATGTATCTCGTATGATTTTCGAGATAGCCAAAAGGGGTCGAAACTTTAAGGGCTCGTTTCACCCCTTAAACCCGCGTCTCAGCCGATAAAAAAAAATACGTGTCCAATATACGTATATTGTATACTAAGTAAATTAGTTTTTAAGTATAAGACTAAATACTTACCAAAAACTTATTAATAAAAAGTATATTCCGTCTAATATCTCTTTTAATTAACGTATACGACATTTTATTACATAAATTAAAATTCATGCGTTCTTTTCATTGCTCCGTTAATTATATGCCTTTTTGATTGATTTGAACAAATTAATGTATACGAACATGTACATTTCTGTGGAGACTTGCATCGCGCTTTGTATTATTCGCGCCATTTATATTCTATTGTTTTTTTGTACGATGTAATATTCGAGTTGGCAGCAGTGGGAGACAAAAGAATAAACGAGCAGAGTCTTCATCGTGGCGTGGCGCGTGGTGCGATGCACACGTGCATTTTGTAATCCGTTAAGATTAAAAGTATATTATAAGTGAAAGATATATAATTAATTAAAAACCCAACAATTTCCTCTACAAAATTAATGACATTGGAAATACATTTGTAGTTAATAACTTATTATGTAAAAATCTGTAATTATGCTGATAAGAAATACCTTATCAAGATAACAATAATTGAAATAGTAAGTAAAATATTTACAACTACGATGTTTTAGTGTTTTGATCAATATATTATTTTAATTATCATTTTCAATAAAATAAAATAAACAATGGTCAATAATGGAGACATTTAGAGACTTTACATTTTAAACAAATTTTTTAATAGAATATATTCATTAATTGCTTAAAACTGACAATTTTTTAATTTCCAAACTTTCATGTTTTGAAATTTTATGAAAATTTCAAAGTTTCCAAATCTTCAAGTCCCTAAATTCATAAATTTTAAAGTCCATAAATTTCGATATTCTTAATTTCTCTAGTTCTTCAATCTCAAAATCCCCAAATTCTTAAATCTCTTATAATCAAATTTCGTAAGTTCTTCCATTTTCAAACTTGCAGATATACAAACGTTTGGAATTCCGTATGCCCATGTCCTCAAATTTGTATATTCCAAATTTCTAGAACTCCAAATTCCTAAATCTTCAAATTTTATGAACCCCAAATCTTTCTAGATTTTCATATTCTTGTATTTATGAATTTCAAAGTCATGGTGCCTAAATCCCTAGGTCTTCAAATTTCTAGATCAACTAATTGCTAAACTGTCAAATCATTAGATTACCATAGTTGAAAGCTGTAAGTCTCAAACTGAGAAATTTTCTATGTTTTAAAATTCCTAGAACTTTATATATTTAAGTTCCTGAATTTCTAGGCTGTCAAATCCCTAAGCTTGCCTATTCGCAAACCTCTATCCACAAATTCTTGTGTCACCAATTTCTTAACATATCCACAAATGTTTGTGTTTCTAAATACTCAACTTGTTTTCAAATACTTACGTTCTCAGAATTTTTACTTGTTTCTAAATCTTCCAATCTTCCAGAATCTTTATAAATTAGCAAATGTGAAGTCTTTTCCTTCAGTTGCTATGGTTTTTCTAAAGGAGCCAGATTTGCTCTTCACTGTAGTTGCATACTGATCAATTCGCAGTTCAAACATTTTATGTCAAAGTTGTTAAACGTTATTAAAATATAAAAACGTGTATACCTGTTACATATTGACTGTTTTACATAATACGGTTTAATATCAACCGCATTACCAATAGAAACGACGTAATTGCGTAAATATGCAGGTCGGAAGAATATTAGTCAGGGTCTGGCTGTATGGCCAGTTACGTATTATATGGTATTTCCGTACCATCGACTAATACATGTTGTATTAATGTCTCGTCTACTCACGGTAAGAGGATTAATCGTCTAAGAGTGGGACTTAACTGTTGGAAAAAGGTCGGGGATTGGCTGTCTGAGAATCAGATTCGCATGACTGTCACAGGAAAAGGAGTTCAACACCTCTAGTATAGTGTCTCATATCGTTATTCTTTATTATATCTGCTGGTAACTATGAAAATGGTGTGCGTTAGAATAAAATAAAATTGAAAGTTCGTAATTGTTTTGTATTATATTGTAGAAACTTTTGAATTAAATATATGTTTATTAACTGAATAATTATTAAACATATTATTAAATTACAAGGGAAATTACACACGTTCTTTCCAATGAAAGGATAACATAAGACTGATAGAAAATCAAATAAATGTTCATAGCAATAATGCGTTTTTTAATGAAACATGACCAATTGCAACCCCAATTCACTCTGTTTCCACTTCACAAGGAATATTCAGAATCACTGACGGGCCACTCAAGTAATACTGCACCAATAAATGCCTACAATATCGACATTCTTTCCTATATTATGCAAGAACTATTTACAAATGTTTATAAATTTAATTGTTAGTAAGTTAGTCATTATAAAATTGATTGAAGTTTAGGATACATTTATTTGAAGTATGTTGTATCAGCCATATACTGAAAAACCTATCATTTAATAAGAGGTACAATCAGAAGTAAATTTGGCTTTCGCTGGAGAAAATGCAGAAATTTAGAATTTTTTCAATTCTGAAGTTCAACGAACTTGGCACGTAAGAATTTAGAACTTGGAGATTTGGAAATTTGAGAATTTGGAAGTTTAAGATATAATATGAATTTAGAAATATGCAAATTTGAGAATATATAGTTTTGGGAACATGAATTTAAAAATATGGGCATATGGATATTTGAGAATTTGGAAGTTTAAATTTTTATGAAATTATAAGTTTAGGAATATGTGGATTTGGGAATGTATGGATTTAGAAATGCAGTGATTTGAGATTGTAATGATTTGGAAATCTGGGATCTTATAAATATAGGATTTGAGAATTTATTCTAGGAATAAATGTTAGATTTGGGAATGTAGAAATTTGAAAAACTGAACTATTTGAATTTTTGGAATTTGGGAATTTCGTAATTTGAGATTTTTTAAATTTCAAAATTAGAAGATATTTCAATTATCAAGCTATAACAAATAATTAAAGGGAATATTAATCAAGAATAATAAATCAGTATGCACGAATTTAATTCTTCTTTTGCAGTACAATTGTGACTTATTGTTGGTATAAGTCACTTTTTATATACATGTGCAATTCTAAAAACTGTCTAAGAAACATATTTCAAACAATATTCAATAAGTATACATGATAAAGGAACCACCTCGGACTTCAATGATTTTTAAATATATTGAAATCTTGGTTTTCTCAAGTAGTTAACGGTCTTATAACTTTTTGACGAATAATAAGCGACGATTAAATTATAGAGGAAAGTTACTCAAGAACATGTCCTTAATTATATATGTCAAGGTCAATGTCATTGGGGTTAAATACCTTTTTGTGAATATTTTCCAAAACTGAAACACCTTTTACGTAGGTATCATTCTTTGCGTGTTGGAAGAAGGAGTTATCTAAAGGTATGATTATTTGTCTATTATTCCAGGCCCAGCACCATGGCGGCTGAGGATGGTACGCTGAGTAGCGGACTTGGGGCGAAATTAAAATGTCCGACTCCTATCTCGCGCTTGAGAGTGGAGAAGATCGAGGGTGGTCTCATGGTAGCTGGGGTTGTAATAGCTGCGAACTGCCAGATTGCGCTTCCGGCATTCGGGTTTCTCTTTATATTCGTCGGCGCTGTGCTCACTGGTTCGTATTTTTCTCCTTATTGCTTCTGTCAACATACACTGCTGCCCATACGCACTCCGACACTGTTCATGAAACTCAGAGTACCCTTGATAGGTTTTAACCGCGCAGCGACCATAAATGTATTATCCATCGCATTACACGCTAGTCACTCCATGATTATATTCTAACCAGAAAACTGATATGTTTGTCCTTCATATGCTTGCAATACTTAATATACGAAATAGGCGCTGAAATAAATTGAAAGACAGGATGTTTTATAAAATGGAACACTGAGAGGAACATATTTTCACTTTGAAGAAAACTTTTAGATTTGAAATAAACAATTTAATAAATTTAGGTGCATCCTCTTAACTCGAACCTTTAACATTAGACAAAATTTACAATTGAATAATTTTCTAAAATTTGACAGAAAAGATTTGTTTTTTGTTAAATGAAACTAACAATTAATATATTTGAACCTTTTTTGATTAGCACCAGATGTTCAAATTCTACATACGAAAACTTCTTTGAATCGTCGCAATTCGTTAACGCGTTTAATTATTTGCCAGGTTATATTTATTACGTGATAACACGACTTTACTTTATAAAGATATCTCAGAATAAAACCGAACATGGGTGGATATTTTACGCAAAAAATGAAAAATATAGAATAACAATTTTATTAAGGTCTTATTTTCGAGAAAATTATGTCTAAAAATTTGTAATTGTATGTTACCGTTATTAATATTTAACGATATGCTGATAATGTCGTTAAAATATCGTTACTGGATTCATCGAATTTGATTGAAGCAGAATGTAACGCGTTTAAATTTATCGCTATACGGTCATATATTGCATGTTATAGTATTTTATAAATATGCAAATGTAACACACATAGACAACTTATGTATTTCGAATTACTTCAAATTTCATTGATGTAGCTTTTTATTTATTATTATATTTCATATTTTGCACTTTCTTATAAAAATTTAATGACTTTCGTCTATGTTTATCATTATTTATGTATATTTGTGAATAAGTATGTGAGTAAAAATTCTCAAATTTACAAAATTTGCATATTCCAGATTTGTATATTCCAAAATTTTACAATATAGGCATCTGAAAATTTAGAGATTTTTTGTTTGAAAATTCAGGAACTCAGTCGTTCAGAAATTTTTACGTTTGAAAATTTAGGAACTTTGAGAATTTTTAAATTTGGTAATTTTCAAATTTATGAATTTGAAATTGAATTTGTAATTTTCAAAATGAATTTGTAACAATACCGAACATTCTCGACCGCCTGGAACAATCGAGAAGACCGGCTCGCGAAACGGAGCAGCGTGCGTCGAGAATCGAGCCGAACATTCGCGAACTCCGAAACGAGCGCGTGGCTCGCCGA